GTGTTCATGTTTCAGCTGCTCTCAGGTCAGTGTTCATGTTTCAGCTGTGTTCTGCATTTGTTATTTATTTATCTATCACAACTGAAACACAAATTAATCTAAATTATGAACATGTTTGTTTCTAAATGTGAATAAAATCTGTCAAGTGTGCAAAAAACCAACACATTTGAATGCAAGAAGTCACTGTATGCTTTAGTGCACGTGATGGCTGATGTTTCACGTGCACAACAGTCCCTGTAAAAAGGTCATTGGCGTGCCTCAGGGAGCTCACGGGGAACATTTTTATTGAACCATGCCATCACAACCACTCACATCTTTCCTCTTCTACGTTTAAGAAGCATTTTATCAACCTGCACATTCTTTGTTTTTTGTTTCAACAAATCAACAAACGTCCAAAAGTCTTATGTTTATTAAATCCCTTCCCTTCACCACTTGTTCTTTCCCTCTCCTGCCTCCCTCCTCTGCCTTTGCTTTTGCTCTGTCTGTGAATCTGCCTCAGAGCATCTTCCGAATCGTAAATTATTATGGAGCTGGTCAGCTGGTCTCTCAACGCAACTGATAAAATTTTCTCGACGAGAAAACAGGGTGCAGGAGCACCCGCATGCCCTGATTGGACGCACGCAGCCGGACATATCATGGATTTCTGGTGTGGATGGAAGATGATGTGACTGTCTGTATTGTCCATCGAGGACGTTCAAGATGCGTACATAATTGGATTTATGATAACGGGGTGGCTGTGACTAAGTGGTTAGAGCAGTCGTCTCCTCCAGTGCAAGAGTTGGGGGTTTAATTCCATTAGCAGTCACATGCTGAAGTGTCCCTGGTCAAGACAATTAGCCCCTCATTGTCTCCACTGTGTGTCCCATTGGTGTATGAATGTGCTAAAGCTCTGATTAGTCTCTTTAGAATGATTTGATCTAGCAGAGTGCTGTATATGAATGGATATATGTGGCACAGATTGTGTTGTAAAGAGCTTTGAGTGTCTTGTTAAGATAGAAAGGCGCTGTATAAGTACAGTCCATTTACCATACCACGATTTCTGCCTTTTGGAATTAATTGGTTCCTGGGATATCGACAAATTGGAAAGACGTCGGCAGCAGTTTTGGCATTGATGAGGCTGCCAGCCTTATATGAAGGTTTGCACTGTGCTACGAGTGCTCAGACTCAGACGCTTTGCGAGCTAGAGCTTGCTGGCATGAAGGAATCGATCTCGGAGAATGCTACAATCACGGTCCGGCGGTTTGACCACATAATCTGGATGTTTGTGTTCGCCATCAAGAGTACCAGCAAAAAAAAAAAAACACCTGTGAAGGCAGACGTGTAGTCAATAAAGTCTGCCTGTCCCAACAACAACTGCTGTTTACCTGAAATTGGCTCCCCAGCTGGCTTTGGACAGGCCACTGTATCTCAGATGCTCCTGGAGGTTTTGAAAATCATGATGTTCTGCTCTGCCCTACAAACACAGGACACTTGTGGACCCCTATCTGAGCGAGCTGGCTGAATAAACACTGCACCATCTTTATCAAGACTATGGATCCTCTGGTAGTGCACGGACAATCTCACCATCCTTGTCGGCCTCCTTCCCCCTGCGGAATGTCTGCATCATTGTGCTGTTTATGTGCGGGGTCTTTTTCTTCCAACTCTCACACTGTGCCTCGGCCAGGACATAGTGCGAGATATGAATTTATTTTTCCTCCCCTCCCCTCGTGTTTACTTTTCTCAACTTTTTTGTCTAAAACAGGTCTCACTTGTAAATGAGTGAGAACCAATGCAGATGTTCCTGTTTTTAGTTTTCTACACCGCCTTACAATCTAGCTGTTTTTTGGCTACTTTTCCTTTAAATACCATTTTATTTTCGTTTGGTAAAAAAAAAAAAAAAACATTTGTACGCATCCTTTATGATTGTCTATTGTTGTTGTTGTTGTTGTCCGCTGTTGTCATCACACTGTGTTAAACTCAGGTCTCTCTTGTAAATTAGTCCCAGAGGTTCAATGTGATTAATCTGTATAAATAAAGGTTGAATTAAATTTTTTTTTTTAATATCTGGACTCGTTCGTGTCCAGCTGTTTTCTTTCCATCAGGTGGACCTTCTAGCTTCAGAGCTTGAAGTTCGTCAGTACAGTTCTCATTCAGATGTTTTTGGACTCTGCAGCTTGTGGTTTGAACAGATCTCCTATAATTCACATCAAAAGGTCTTTGTCAAACATTTAGAGCTCATGAGTTTGAAAAGGGGCAGCGCGGTGGCACAACTGGTAAAGCTGCTGCCTCTGAGCGAGCAGGGTTCAAATTCTGGCCGGGGGCCTTTCTGGGAGGAGTTTCATGTTCTCTCCGTGCTGCATGGGTTTTCTCCTGGTACTCCAGTTTCCTCCCACAGACCAAAAACATGCATGTTAGACTAACTGGTAACTCTAAATTGTCCCTAGGTGGAAGAGAGAGTGAATGATTGTTTGTCTCGTTTATCTCCGTGTGTCCCTGTGATGGACTGGAGACCTGTCCAGATGTCCCTGTGATGGACTGATGAGGGATGGAGTTTGTTGTGTTGTGGCAGCAGAGCGTCTCTTTGTCCCACTCTGATTCATTTATGACTTCATGACTTCAAAACTTTAAATTCTGTTTTAGTTTGGGTCAAACTCAACAGCCCAGCATTTCACAGACAATAATAAAAACTCTACTTCGATCTTTCTGCTGAATTACCGTGTTCATTTTATTATCTTGTTTAGATTTATTTCCCCAGGTCTTCTAAAACTCTAAACCGTGCTCCAGCTCCTCTGGAACCACTTTGGGTTTTAGGCTCCGTGATATTTGCTGACGTTTGCCTTTTATTTTTGAAGGAGGATTTCTGGGATTTTTTTCTTTGTTAATGACAATTTGACCGTATTTAAGAAGTTTTTGTCTTTTTGCCTTGCAGGACATGTACCACTCCCATCGACCCAAAGAGAAAGTCCACCTGGACAAAAACAAGATCTTCGACAGCAACAGCAACCTGGGAGCCCGAACACAACGCCACAGACTACCGGTCCAGAGAACACTGGAGAAGACCCAGAGCATGCTGGGAAGTCCGGTCCTCAGGCCTGCTCCTGTCCACCCACCAAGTCACAACCACACCTATAAAGCCCGGTCCCAGTTACCCACCCTCCCAGGACCAGCTCAGGGGTCCAACCAAGACCCTCCGTTCTACCAGACCGTGAGGCCAGCTTCCCCCCCGCTGCCACCCAGTCTGGAGCCAAGGAAGGAGCCGCTGCAGTGCGAGGTCAACGGGAAGGAGGCCATCTCTGCTCTGTCCAGAGCCAGGAGCCGCGAGTGTCGGCAGCAGATCGTTCAGGTTTACTGCAGACACAAGGAGAGGGCCCTGATGCCTGAGCAGGTCCCCCGGTACTGCCCGATATCAGGTGAGGGACCTAACAACACTGACCCTCAGCCTCAGATCCACATCCAGTCCCTGAGGTGCAGAGCTCCTCCTGAACCCCCTCGCTGAGCATGTACCATAGAGAAGAGCGGCAGCCTGTGGTCGCCGCTCTATTTCCAGGCTTGGACAGAGAATAATTATGCCCCGATCCAAGCAGCTGTTTGTGGTTCTGGAAGGGCTGACTGAAGAGTCAGAACCTCCCAGACCCGCTGCAGGTTCCATTTGGATAATTATAGGTTGCTTTGATGACACGGTAGTCATTAGGGCACTCGCTGTTTTCAGAGGCTTTTCTGTGCACATCGCAGGGCGTGCACGGCTCAGACAAACCTTCTGATTATGGTTATTTTCCCAGCATGCACCACAGACAAGAGGTCACTGATGTGTTGGAGGAGACTTGGACCGGTTTCATCCTCTGGAAGATGAGTCTTAGGATGGACCTGAACTTTGACCTTTAGACCTTCAGCCCAGGAAACTGACGTTCAACCAGATGATGAGGTTCTGATCCAGAATGACCTCAGCATCCAGGTCCAAACAGAACTTGGTTCGGTTTACATTTAGCTAAAAGGTGGACCTGTTTGTTTAAGCTGAAAAACTTTATACTTCAAAATGTTGCGAGTGACGAAGCATCTTTAATTTAGGGATGGAAACGGTTCTGCTAAACTCGGCACTGACACCAGAGTTTTCCGTGTTGCCATGGCAACCCAACATGGCCGAATCAAACAGTCAGTGATGAAGGTGATAACAGGAAGTCCTCCAAACAGCTGGCAGAGACACAAATCAATACTATATGCTCAAAACTACACATTATTTCTGTAGAATATGTAATCTATAATCTGTAATCTATAATGATAAATGGACAGTACTTATACAGCTCCTTTTTATCTTATCAAGACACTCAAAGCTCTTTACAACAATCTGTGCCTCATTCATACAGCACTCTTACTAGATCTCTACAAAGACTAATCAGAGCTTTATCACAGTTATAGTTCATATTTTAGATCTTATTACTGTTTTTCTTTACAATTTGTATTTTTGTTGGATGTAACTGGGACCCTGTGTACATAGTTTCGTTCCACCTCGTGTACCACATGGGATGTGAATGACAATAGCCACCTTGACCTTGACTGTTCTAACCACTCAGCCACAGCCGCCCATAATCTGTAATCTATAATTTATAGTCTGTAATTTGTCATCTATAATCTGTAATTTATAATCTATAGTCTGTAATCTATAATCTGTAATCTATAGTCTATAATCTATAGTCTGTAATCTATAATCTGTAAACTATAGTATGTAATCTGTAATCTATAATCTGTAATCTATAGTCTGTAACAATACCATACCATATTTATTTATAGAGCACTTTAAACACCCACAGGACCAAAGTGCTGTACACATCATAAAACAATCATACAGTCAGATAATACAAATTATTAAAATGATTAAAAGTCAACATCTTAGATGGTGTCAAAGGTCAGGGAGTAGATGGTTTTAAGAAGGGATTTAAAAACAGACTGGGAAGAGTGTGATGTTCATTGAAGGTCGTTCCACAGTTCAGGAGCTGCCGCAGCAAAAGCACAGTCTCCTCTGAGTTTACACTTTGTCTTCAGCACACCCAGGAGCAGCTGATCACATGACCTGAGGGATCCAGAGGGTGTGTCTGGATGTAGCAACTTGGACAGATAGGGCGGGGCAAGTCCATTAAGAGCTTTAAAAGCAAATAAAATAATTAACAAATGAATCCCAGAATGTACGGGCAGCCAGTGCAGGGAGGCTAAAACAGGAGAAATGTGGTCAAACTTTGGTGTGCCAGTTAAAAGTCGTGCAGCAGCGTTCTGTACCCTCTGAAGCTGACAGACACATGAATCACTGATTCCTGTGTAGAGTGCGTTACAGTAGTCCAGCCGAGTGGTCACAAAGGCATGAACTACTGTTTCAAAACGCTGCTGAGGAAGAATAGGCTTCACTTTAGCTGCCTCAGATGGAACAAACTAGTTTTAACAACTGCTCTGATGTGATTTTCTAATTTTAGTCCAGCATCAACTTTAACCCCCAAGTTTGTAACAGCTGGCCTGATATACTGGGCTAAGGAATCAACAACTACACTGGGAGTCTCAGTGGAGCTTCCGAAGACCATCACCTCAGTCTTTCCCTCACTGAACTTTAAGAAGTTCACAGCCATCAAGGCTTTTATGTCCTCCAGACATGAAAACAGAGGGGCCAGAGAGTTAGAGTCCGTTTTCTTTAGCAGGACATATATCTGCGTATCATCCGCGTAACAATGAAAGGAGATCCCATATTTTCTAAAAATAGAGCCAAGAGGGAGCAGGTACAGCGTGAAAAGGAGGGGGCCTAAGACTGAGCCCTGTGGAACCACACACAAGAGAGGAGCAGAGGAGGGCACGTGGTCACCAAGGCGGGCACAGAAAGTACACTCTACTAAGTAGGACCTAAACCAGTCCAGTGCTGGTAACGACAAAGTAAGATGTTATGGTCCACGGTGTCAACAGCAGCTGATAAGTCTAAAAACAGGACAACACAGTCACCAGAGTCCATTGCTCAAAATATGTTATTGAAAACCTTTAAAAGAGCAGATTCCGTACTGTGCAGAGATTTAAAACCAGACTGTAAAACCTTGAGAATGTTCTGTTCTTTCAAATATTGGTTGTACAGGTACACCACCTTCTAGAGAATTTTTGAAAGAAATAGCAGTTTGGAATCTATAATCTGCATCATCAGATTTTCTTGCACACCTTTAAGGCATCGCTCCATGGTAACTTCCTGTTCCTCTGTGCAGGTAAATCCACCGTGAACGCTCCGTGGGATGCCACGGTGGTCCCTGACGCCTCTCGGCCCGTTCGCCTCGTCTTTGTCCTGGTGGTCCACGGCCGAGCGTCCCGGCAGCTGCAGCGCCTCTTCAAGGCCGTGTACCACACCTCGCACTACTTCTACATCCATGTGGACCAGGTGGGGTTGAACCTCTCATCTGTCATCTCAGAACAGAAACGACTTCTGTTCTTGTCATTATTGTAAAAATATATATTTTAGTTAGTTTATACAATAAAATCAGAGTTTACGGACCTGCTGGTCCTCCATGAGTCTGGTTGTTAATCCCACAGGAAGTGATTTATAAAGGCGTAACCCTGCTTTCTGTTGAACGCCCCCCCACCCCAGAGGTCCGACTACCTCCACAGAGAGGTTCTGTCCCTGGCGGCTCGGTTTGAGAACGTCAGAGTGACTTCCTGGAGGATGGCCACCATTTGGGGTGGAGCCAGCCTCTTGAGCATGTACCTGCGCAGCATGGAGGACCTCCTCCTGATGGACGACTGGTCCTGGGACTTCTTCATCAACCTGAGCGCCGCCGACTACCCCCTCAGGTAAGCCACAACCTGGTTCTGGAGCAGATCCTGATGGAATTGGATCTGATCTTTAAAGTGTAAAAGTTTAGTTTAAAAAATAAAAAAATATATAAAATGTAAACCTTTATTTGTTTATTTATTGGAATATATTTTGTAAAAACAAACAAACTGACCTCAACAGGAGCACACGTTGCTCTAAATGATTGTAAACACTAACTTCCAAATAAATAAACAAGTAAATAAATAAACAAATAATCAGCAGGACAGGACAGAAGGAGGCCAGGACTGAAGGACAGGACAGCAGGAGGACAGGACAGCAGGAGGACAGTACACACTGGTCACTGCGTCCACCAGCAGCTAGAGTCCGTGTGGCTCCATCATCCCTCCATGGGGACGAGGACAACAGATGGACATGTTTACTCCTGCAGTCCAACTGTTACGGTGGATTTAGCAGCGTGGAGGTTTTTATCAGAGCAACATCTTCAGAGCACACTCACATGCATTTTTTTTTCTCTCTGTGCTCCCATGAAGACAGACGTGCCCTCTTCTGCTCCGTCCCCCTGCTTCCCTGCTTTGCTCTCTTTCGTCTTGTGAACCCTTTAAGAGCCTCGTTTTTTTTCCTGCATACCTTCCTAATTCGAAGGATTTTGATCAGCTGTTCTCTCAACAAAATTGATCAACTTCTCCTGACAGGAAGTCAGGGTAAGGAGGACCCTCTTATCTCGACAGAAACAAACTGGATTCATGATGACAACTGGGTTCTGCTGTTTGGGTTGGTAAAATCTGGATTGTCTACAAATTCGTGTGGATGTGTCGAAGCTTGGCAGCACTCAGACTGAATTATGTGGAGCTGCGTCAGAGTTGGAGCAGGCTGTTATCAGGACTGTGAACTTTCTGGCATCACCCATGAACGGTGGGAATAATCTTGGAGAAGCTGAAAGCTTGACTTTTGACGTAAGGAATCAATTCGGCTGTTTGGAGTCACCATCAGAGAAATGTACCAGCGAGACTTCAGAAGGAAGACGTTTTGTCCTACCAGGGAGTTGTCCATTTTCTCATTACCATGGCAGATATGATGACTTTGCCGGAGGTCCATGATGTTACCAGAGGGTTATTTTCTCCAGGGGACCACGTCTCTTCCAGCAGCTTGCATCACTCTTCAGGGTGTTTGAACATTTTAAGAACTTCTGGGCTGGCTCAGAGCCAACTCTACTCCAAGACCCACTTCTTCCATCATGAGACTGCTTCTCTCAAGAGAGTTCTTCTCTGCAACTCTCTTCAACAACTTTTCAGCAACTGCTCATCTCAGCAACTGTCCAACAACCACCTCTGGTGTCCGTTTACCTAACACATCAGAAGTGGCCTTGCCCGTGATCTTTAACCAATGACAATGCAGCTCCCAATCCGTGGGTGTGAACAAGAACTGCGTACATTAATTTAATTATACCCTCTCCTCAAAGTCTTTAATGGAGGAAACACAATAGTTTTTGCTGAAAATTGCAACACCTTGTTTTACATAAACACCATGTTCTTTAGTAAAATGCAAGTTTGATCCTGACACGCCATTGTTACAAACAAAGTCATTTGTTGAAGCTCTGTCCACTGGGGGGGGGGGGGCGGTAACTTCCTTTTTTACCATGGCAACGACAGTCCCTGTTAGTAAGGTAACGTCCACTACTTTGTTAGAGATTTCTTGTTGGGAAAATAAAATGTCTGTCCCTTCCCAAGAGAGAGGGTTAATTAACACAGAGTTAATTATGATACAATATGGAACCGGGGTGGTCCAGGATGTCGACTTCATCCTGAATGGTAGATTAACACACCGAAGTGTCCTTGGGTGTCCTGAAAGGCGCATTTTAAATAAAATTATTATTATTATTATTATTATAAGGGGTAAAAAGAAACTGTTTCTGTGTCAGAACAGAATGCCAGTATTTGTCTCAGATTAGCACAGAGAAGGGGCTACGAGAGACGCAGTCTCTTTGAGGACGTTCTGTCTCTTTGAGGGACCCTTGGTTGGATGTACGCTACAATTTCTTTGTTTCATTTGTTGATTCATTCATTCATTTCTGATTTGTTCTTCATGTTAAACAGGATGAGGTCTTTCATTTTGCCTCAGTGTCAGTTTTAGTTTGTCTCAAACTTGTTTAATCCCAGATTAACTGATCTGGAACTTCATGTTTTTATACTCAGATTATTTTAACAACCTTTGACTGAGTTTTTATTGGTTCCAAGTTCAAGTTTTAAATAAGGATTGAGCTCTAAACTCATGTTTAGAACCTGAGCTCACATGTGGTTTTAGTTTTTGTTGGATCTGTCATGTTTCTGCCCCTCCTGCATAGCTCCTGTTTTCATGTTCTGTGTTTTCCCTGCTCATGTCACGTCTCTGCGCTTCTATCACCACGCCCACTCAGGTCAATCACCGTCCACATGCCGATCACCTGTCACCTGCTCTACTTAAACTCCACGCTCACACTCATTCATTTCCAGATTACTGAAATCCTTCAGATCAGTAAATGTCCAGCGTTCGTTCCCCAGTTTTGTTTGCCTGCCTGGTCTTGATCTCACGCCTGTTTCATGGATTCTTCGTCTTGCCCGCTCCTTGCCTACTTTGGATTATCTTTTCTGCCTATGGTATCGACCCCTGCTTCCACTACCACAACCACATCTCAAGGATTACGTTTTGGATTTGGCCCAGGACTTCTGATCACCTGTGTATGACCCTCGCCTGTTTCTCTGGACCTCCCGTGTGGATCTCCCTTAAAACTACGCACTGCTCTGCTTTACCTCACAGCCGACCCGTCTTCACCACCGGTGATGTCATCACCTCCAACTCCCTCAAGTAACTCCTCCTGCACCTGTCAGTGAAGTCCTGCTCACTAATCCTCCTGTCTCTCCAGATTGGCCCGGCCTTGGGACTTTGACCTCCACCAGCAGCTGCTTATTAATATAAACTTTAACTATTCTTGTTGTCTGTGGTCAAATTTGAATCCTAAAAACTGGTTCTGGTCAGGATCAGGTTTTGGATCAGGGTCAGGTCTGGTTTAAATCTGAATTTATTTGGTACTTTCAGGAATCTGCCACAGTTCTTGTCTGTTTTGTGACCGACCTTCTGCTGAGTTTCGGGTCTTGTCTTAGATTGAGTTTTGGACTCTGGTGATCCACATCTACCTAAATGCAGACGGCAGCCTCACAGTGGTTCTGAGATGATTTGGGCTTCTTCCCGATGTTTGTTTTATTAAACCTTTTGATGAACATCAATAAAGTCGGAGTTCATGGCCCGAAGCTGGAGACCTGAGGGTTTCTGGGATCAGGCAGAGTCTTTGTGATCAGGATCTGACCCGATTCTGTTTCTTTTCAGGACCAACGAGCAGCTGGTGGCGTTCCTGTCCAAATATCGCAACATGAACTTCATTAAGTCTCACGGCAGAGACAACGCACGGTGAGGAAAACAAAAAGTCCTCTCTGGGTTTGGGATGCTTCAGTAAATTGATGTTTTATGGTTTGTAGATGACAACAGATGTTTTGTTTGGAACCATCATTACTTTGTTGGAACGGAGTAAACAGATCTGAACTGTTGGTTTGTGGTGCTGAGAGGACCAGAATCTTTGTCTCACAGCAGAACAGAATTAGATAAACTGAGGGATGTTTCTGTTCAACAAATACCCAGCATGCACCTCTGCAGAAGCCCACCACCAAGCATGGCCTGGAACAGGCCCTGCTTTTTGCTAGAACCTCCTTAAGACTGACCAGACGTTCCTCTCTGACATTGTCCCACACCACAGTTTTTGCATATGAAACCACAAAAATGTTGTCCTTCTGGCCACCCAGTACTTCAGGGACAGCTAAGAACTGAAGGCCTCCTCCTTCAGCTTGACTGCCTCCATCACCACTGGTGTTCACCAGCAGGTTCTTCGGTTGTCACTGTGACAAGCCTGACCTTCCTTGAGACATGTAAAAAAAAAACCTTCTCCTGGAGGTGTGAGTTAAAGCTCAAACGGGAGGCTTTGCCAGATGTTCCCCAGAAATTTTGACTCCTGGTTTGTGTTTACCAGGTCTGTCTTGCTGCCTCCTCTGCCACCGGATCTCTACCAGATGGTGAACAGTTGACACCTCTGTCCCTCTCATTACTCGAGCGGCCAAGACCTAGGACTGCAGGTCTGATGAACTGATAACAAATTCAATTGACCTTGTGCCTAAGGTGGCCTGGTACCAAGTCCTTTTAATGGACCACCTTACGTTCAAACTTGGTGTTGGTCATGGACAGCCCATACCTAGACCAGAAGACCAGTAACAGAACACTGTTCATGTTTGTATCAGGGAGGCCGTTTCCCCCAATCACACCTCTCTGACATGGCTCCATTATTACCCACAGGGCACTCAAGTCCCCCAGGAGACCACCTAAAGAAGGTGTCTCTGAAGTCCTCAGAGTTTTAGTCCCTCAGAATTTTTGTCCTCAGAGTTTTAGTCTTCAAAGTTTTAGTCCTTGCAGCTTTTGTCCTCGCAGATTTAGTCCTCAGTGAAACTAAAACTAATCAGTAAAGTATCTTCTGGTTGAACAGACTTCAGGATTTGAATTTGGCCTGCTATTTGTCTCCACAGTTTCATTCGTAAACAAGGTCTGGACCGACTCTTCTACGAGTGTGACACCCATATGTGGCGTCTCGGGGATAGGAAGATCCCTGAAGGCATTGCTGTGGATGGAGGTTCTGATTGGTTCCTGCTCAACCGGCCGTTTGTGGATTACGTTGTAAACTCGAAGGACGAGCTGGTCGGAGGCCTGAAACGTTTCTATGGTTACACTCTACTGCCAGCCGAGGTTAAACTTTAAAACTGCTTTGAATTTCAAAGAGTTTCTTTTATTTTTACGGAAATTTTTTTTATACTGCAGCCTTAAAGGTATTATACTGTTGTGTTTAGGTACATCCATCCATCCATTATCTTTTACCTGCTTCTTTCATTTTGGGTCACGGGGGTCGCCGGTGCCCATGTCCGGCAATCACTGTGCGAGGGGCAGGGTACAACATGGACAGGTCGCAAGTCCATCACAGGGACACATAGAGACAAACAACCATTCACTCGCTCTCTCACACACCTAGGGACAATTTAGAGTTACCAATCAGACTAATATGCATGTTTTTGGTCTGTGGGAGGAAACCGGAGCACCCAGAGAAAACCCACGCATGCACGGAGAGAACATACAAACTCCACCCAGAAAGGCACCCAAACTGGGATTTGAACCGGGGACCTGCTTGCTGAGAGGCAGCAGCTCTACCAGTTGCGCCACCGTGCTGCCCTGTTTATGTACAATGAAAACAAATTTAAATTAAAAATATTAAACATTTTAATGTAAATTTAAATATAAATATCATTTAGAGTTATTATAAAAATTGTCATATTAAAGTACTAACTTTTATCCAAGATATGTTTATTTTAAAACTTTTTACTGAATGCTTTTAAACTCTCAAGTAAAAGCATATAAAATGGAACCAGTTCAATTCAGTTTATTTATATAGCACCAAGTCACAACAGAAGTAGCTGGTTGCTGGTATTAAGAAGGCCAAGGCCACATATGCACAGAGGATCCAGGGTCAATTCACCTCACAAGACCCACGGAGCATGTGGAGGGGCATTAAGTGTATAACAGATTATAAAGGCAGAAGTGAACCCTCACCCCGATAGTTGCTAAATGCTTCGAAAAACTGGTCATGACCCACATCAGAACAATCATCAACATCAACTAGGACCCTCATCAGTATGCATACCACGAGAACCGATCAACAGAGGACGCCATCTCCTCTGTGGTCCACACTGCTCTTACCCACCTGGAGCAGGATTCCTACGTTTGTTTGCTCTTTGTGGACTTCACGTCTGCCTTGAACACCATGATCCCCCAAACCCTGATGGACAAACTACTCACACTAGGACTAAGTCCCTCCATTTGCAACTTGGTCCTAGACTTCTTAACAAACAGACCACAGTCTGTGAGGATCCACAACTTCTCTTCCTCCATCATAACCCTCAGCACTGGCTCCCCTCAGGGCTGTGTGCTGAGCCCTCTCCTGTTCACTCTGCTCACATATATTTGTGCAGCTACCCATCCAGGCTGTCATATTGTAAAGTTTGCAGATGATACAGTGGTGGTGGGATGTATCACAAACAATGATGAGTCCAGCTACAGGCAGGAGGTGGAACACCTGGAGAACTGGTGCAAGAATAATAATCTTCACATCAATATGAAAAAAAAACAAAGGAGATGATCATGGACTTCAGAAGGAACAAATCCACCTACAACCCCCCCGAATATAGGAGGATCTGCGGTGGAAGTGGTCTCCAGCTACAAGTATTTGGGTGTGCACCTGAATGACAACCTCAACTGGAGCAACAACACCACCAGCCTGATCAAGAAAGCTCATCAGAGACTACACTTCTTCAGGCATTTGAAGCGAGATGGTCTGAGAAGCTCAGTCTTCACCTCCTTCTACAGGTGTGCAGTGGAGAGCATCCTGTGCTCCAGTATCAATGTGTGGCATGGAAGCTGCACAGCTGCAGAAAGAAAAGCTTTGCAGAGAGTGGTGAAGGCTGCACAGAAGTCTGTTGGAGTCAGCCTCCCCACCATCACAGACATCTACACCTCCAGATGCAGGAAGAGGGCCACCTGCATCATGAAGGACCCCACTCACCCAGCACACACACTTTTTGCCCCGCTCCCCTCAGGAAAGAGGTTAAGGAGCATTAAATGTAGAACCACTAGACTGAGGAACAGCTTCTACCCTGAGGCTGTTATACTCATGAATATCTAACTAGAATAATCACTGTGAAAAATCACATCATGTTGCTGCTGATCTGTTTCATGTTGCTGCTGATCTGTTTCATGTTGAGGTGTTCATGCATGCTCATCTGCTCACACAGACTCATGTTCATGCTGCTGTTCGGCGTATTGTGTTTATTGTTTTTATGCTATTAGGGCTTAGCGTATTTTTAGTTGATGTTTTTCTTAGTTCATATCTTAGATCTTATTACTGTTTTTCATTTACATTTTATTGTTGGATGTAACTGGGACTCTGTGTACATAATTTTGTTTTGACAATAAAGAATATCTGAATCTGAAGTCATCTCAGGGCACTGAACAGAAACATTCATATATATAAAAAATCAATAACACTATTTTACCATTGTCAGTTACAATAAAATCAGTTCATAAAAACTGTGTTTTTGCATTTTACAAAATAATAGTAATTTTAACATTTTCATATTGTGATAAAAATGTTAAACAAATAAAATACATAAAAATATTTAATGTCTGTTTTGAAATTTTGACAATTTTATAACAAAAGCTAACATTAAATATAATTTTTAGACAAAATATAAAGTTCTACCAATATTTGTGCTTTTTCACAGTATTTATTTAGAAATGAGATATTTCAACACTTTTTTTACATAAGTTATAACAGGTTAACCATATGTTCGTTTATATAGTTATTTATTTAGTTGTTTTTCATTTTAATTGTTTTGTTTTAGTTCCTGTTTCTTTAAGCTCCTCCTCCTCAGACAGAGCCTCTGGTTTTCATTGGGCACCATCTCATCTTCTAATCATCAGTGTTACAGTTGTGTTGACCAGATTGTTCTGAGGAGGAGAACTGGAATATTACAAACTGTTCATCTGCACAGAATGACAGAACCACAAGAAGTCTGTTCTTAGAAGCAGAAATTTCACTTAAACAGAGGCTGTGTTTTTAATCTCACAGTCCTTTTTTCACACCGTCCTGGAGAACAGTGTCCTCTGTGAGACCATGGTGGACAACAACCTGAGGCTCACCAACTGGAACCGTAAACTGGGCTGCAAGTGTCAGTACAAGCACATCGTGGACTGGTGTGGCTGCTCGCCCAACGACTTCAAACCCTCAGACCTGCCACGTTTCCAGGTGAGATGGCAGCATTAATTTACCTGTGGAACACACGTGTACGTGTACTTTAACCTCTGACCTGCTCTGACTCCTGACCTGCTCTGACTGTTAGTATGAACTGTCTTTTCACTTCAGTTCAGTTTTTTCCTGTAGCTCCAAATCCCAACATAAGTTGTTTCAGGGCACTGTACAAAAACATTTACATACTGTACATAAAAAAAGACAATTAGTAATATGTATGTATGTAATGAAGCAGCAGATCGTGTTGAATCTGCTGACTTATTAAAAATCTTAGCCATGTCTTAAAGATTTAATTATTTATTTTACCTTAATTTCTATGACACAAAACCTTGATTTATTAAAACCATTCTAAGCAGAATCTACTGTAAGTAGTGACATAAAATCAAACATTTGAATTTTTTCTGGATGTCTGAGAACCAGCACATGAAAAAAAACTTCCCATGAGCCTCAGCTTTTTCATTTTTTTATTTTTAATTTTTTTTGTCTAAAACATGAACTTCCTGAAGCGCCACCTTCTGTCGGGTCTCTGGGGGCACAGAGAAACTCTGCAATCACAAATTAGCATCGCTGCCTTGAGGCAATTATGGGCTCCTGGTACTGACAGATTTGAGGTCAGTGTGTGTGGCCAACCCGCTGAGGGTTCTGTAAGTCAAGCCAGTCCCAGAACAGCCCACAGAAGGGCGTACTTTTAGCTACATGTAGCTCAAAGTTGCTGAGGTTTCCAGGGTTGTGAATATTCTAATGTTGGGGTTGTTTGATGGTTTGGCCCGGTCTGAAACACACACACATGTACAGTGTGGATAGTAAAAACACACATGTACACTGTGG